GTTGTGTTGAAGGGTGCATCTAGAACAGTAACAGTAGAAGAAGAAAAGAAGAACAGGAAGTATGGAGGATGGCTGACTGAACTTCTGTGGTTGGCTGTGCTACTGGACTGAGCACAGAGTAAAATCCTGACCTGCAATAACTTACAACTGAGTCGTCACATTTTAACCAGTTCTGCTTTTTTTCACAAGTTGCTAAAGTGAAGAAATGTAGAAGCCTTGTGGGTCAAAGGTCAAACATCTTTCAGACATTTCTAAATGTCTGAAAGTCCTGAGGACGGTTCAGATAGCGACAGCTCCGAAAACCATTTTGTGTCTCTGCTGCAGAGCCACGTGACTGAGGACGTTTCTTTGCTTTAATACAGTAAGTCCTTCAGCGCAGCCCAGAGTCTTAATGAGAGATGTGTTATCTCTGCTGGCCATTAGCCTCCGTGTGTGAAGTCATTACAGGGTGTAATTAACTGCTTTCTTAGCAGAGACGGATCATTAGCGAACCAGACCAGGACACATGTAGCATCGATGTGATTTTTTTTTTCCCCCCACTGAACTAAATGGACCGAGACCATTTGTTCTTGTGAGTCTGTGAGCACAGAGCTGCAGTGTTTCTGTGGTCTCCTCCAGGATGGAGATGGAACCCAGTGTGTATTCATCATCACTTCAAGGACAGGTCAGAGCTCTGTGAGAACCTGATCCTGCAGAACAACCCAGTCCTGTCAGGAGTGATGGTGTCTGTTGGAATAATACTAATAATAATAAAAATGAAAATCCACTCTTTGTCCCAGTGGAAATGGGCTAGACAACACTCTTTTTATTACATTACTTAATACTCCATTTTCACAAAATTTAAGGAATAATAAATAATAATAAGGAAAATCATGCCTTAGTATAATGGACCGTAATATTTGGACAGTTCCACTTTAACCTTAAAATCCCAAATATGAACCAGTAAGTGTAACCCCCGTAGTGCTCTCATGTATCACTAGGGGGCCACGTACACCTGGTTTCGTAAAAACTGTGCAGTTTGGGCTGCCTTTAAGGAGCCCAACTAGGTATGTCCATTTCAAATGCATACCTTAGACGTGGTTGCTCAGCAATACATCCTCTAGTAGGCGCTGTTGAGTTCAGCCAATGTCAGTTTGATTGACAATAACAAAAGTGGTGAGGGTGGAGAAGGTGGCGCTAACGCTCCTGCTCAGGAAGAGACAGTGGTGGTCTACGTGGACACACAGGTGGGCAGGTGGTGGTAGATACAGGAGGAGGAAGCAGGAGGACAGGAAGTGGTGGACCAGTCGAAGACCGAGTCTGATTGGACAGCTGTTATCCTGATGACAAACCACTGATGGGCCCCTCCAAAAATCCTCCCATTGTGCAGATGTAATAAAACCCGGTCTCTCTCCCTCTCTCTCTCTCCCTCTGTCAGATGAGCTGAGTTGAGTGTTTGTCCCAGCGAAGACACTTGATGTCAAAGAGTTCCCTGAAGCGGTGCTGAGTCGTACATGTGGTCAGAAGGTGAGTTGGTCGACCGTCACACACCGCATCCCTCAAAATGCTAACGTGAGATTTACACTCATTGACCACACATGAGAAATGGACACAGGTAATCTAGTCCAACCGTAGATTCTGCTCCTACTCAACAGGACATGAGGTCACTGCTGGAAATGAAGATCCTTTTGAGAGGAAATCATGCAGTAAAGAACGGCAGGTGACGGTAAAACCAGTGTATGTGAGTAGCTCACGTCTTAAACATCAATCATGTGACACTCGCTGCTGATGGAACCAGCATTAGAACTGTTGTGTGGAGGTATCTCAGGGTTTCCGTGCTACTTTGGTGCCTTTAAGCAGCCATAAAAATACACAGGCTGTTTTTATGTACAGCCATTTCAATCACATGTTGTTACATCAC